ATGCTCTTTATTACGAATACTTGTCATGTTACAATGACTATTCACAATGAAGAGTACGTGTTATGGAATTGGTATAGGTACGGATGATCATGATGTGATTAATTTGGATCCTTTTTTATTTTTGATTTATGGATGGGTGGCTTGATTTGCATTGGCGGTCATTGGCACGGAACAATATTTACACCCCCCTTTTTGCTGTATACTCGCCGCTGATCGGCTTGAGGGTATTGGGAGAGGATGGGATTGGATAGAAAATTCTTTTCTAGATGAGCCGCTTTTATACCTTTAGTTGTGCATAGTTTTTGTGGTGTGGTTGGTGATTCTTGTGGTGGTGCTAGATGCATGGAAGGGTGATGGACGATGAATGCATAGAGCATGAAAAGGGGATGGAAAGATAGATAGAGAGAATGAGAAATCAAATAAGAAATACATTGTTATTAATTATCTGCTTGTTTTTGTGAAGAAAGTTTGTGACTGATTTGTGCTTGTTGATGTGGCTGGATGGATTGCTATTTATATATACATGTCGGAAGTTTCGAGTGAACCTCCTCTTTCTTTCTTTCTTCATCTTATATACGAGTATCTACATATCCAATCCCACACATTCCTATAACCTACCTAGTATCTACTCATACATACGATACACCAACTTGGAGGAGTCGTCCTGATTGTTGTCGTTGTTATACTCCGCTGGAAGTTATATTTACTTTCTTACTTTTTGTATACCATCATATCTCTAAATCCACTCATCGAAACCCCCTCTCAGGAATCCTAAACCTCCAAATCAAAAGTCCGTTAAATCGAATGAGAAAAACAGGTACAACCAGAGAGAACAAACACAAGTCTTTCTCCCTTATTTCTACGGAAACTGTTGTCTCGACACTTAGATTGATGATCAAGTATTGATAGGAGAGGTGATTATTTATAAGTACGCAAGGAAAGAATCGAGGAATCGATGGATTGAACCCGCCTTTTGAGAGGTACATATCTATCAAGCTGTACAAACGAGGTTGAGCGAATCGCAAGGCAAGAGAGGAAAATAAGGAGGTGAATACATTTACTCACGGGTGCCTAGTAGTTCCCTCTTGTTTTTGTCTACTTTGAATCTTAGCCCTTGGGTGAGCCTTCCATATACTATTGCTGTATAAACTTCCCTCCCCATGAGTTTTAAGCTATCATTACACAACCTACAACTTCCACTGGATCACGATGCTCGTCTTGTCTCTCTCGCTGTGCCGATTAAAATCTCCAGGTGCATTTGACTTTGACGTATGATTTTCTGCGTCGGATCGAGAGGATGAGAAGTGGAAAGATGTTGTCACTATCAGTCTACTTTTAGTGCTTGTCGTCGCTTTGACTACGGCTTTGTTGTTGTGGTTGATGCTATCATTTGATATAGGTATACATCACTAGTTCTACTACATCGAAATAGAACGTCTATAGGATGTGCAATACCTATTCATTTATATACAACTGGAACGCTGGCCAGTGAGCCATAGAATACGGGGCTAGACAGATACATCTCGATAGATTCTGTCCATTGAAATCATATCTCCTGTATTTGTTGATGGCAATATGACGTTTTGCTTTCGGATCTGTGGTCTCTTAAATATCCCACATTGGATAATATTTGAGAGGAGAATTTCGATGGGGAGCTCATAAGCGTATTTGAATTAATGAATCATACAGATGAGATCATCATGCCAATTTTTCTACATGCGCTGCTTCGAAATTCACCGAGTAGTGCAAGTCTTTCGAAATCTGCAATTCTGTGGTATTCAAAAACTGGCTATTGTGCATCCAAGATACCGGGATTGTATTATTAGACAACCCAAAAACTGACGGTGAAGGGATTTTTCTCCATCAGTGGTGACTCATATCAGAGCCAGACCGAGTAAATCGATTTTATATATGATATCCAGGGTATGCATCTCGCTTTGGTGTCAAAGACGAGATTATTGAGTAAGTGCATCGGATCTTATCTCTACCTCCTTTTATGTTATTGCTGAGGAACGGAGGATGTGATTATCATCGCGACATTCCTCGTCGCTGTCAATGTCTCTTTTCCTTTTGCGGAGATTAAAATTTCCAAAATCCCAGCGATATCAAGCTAGATGATTGTCCAAACATTTCGTAAAATTTCTATAACTAAGAAATCACCCTATTTGACACAGATCGATGTATTGAACTGAACCGAACTAAACAAGATTCTTGAGTCCACGTTAATATTGGTCTCAAGGTTTGCAGCTTCATAGAATAGCCAAGCGATCTCTCAAATAAGTAAGAGGTCAGAAAGCGAATAGAAGCTTGAGAGGAACCTCGAGCGGGGTAAATGATATTTTGGGGTTGTGTATACTATTGGGAAAGAGGGGGGATGATGAGGAGGGGTAATAGGAGATGATTGGTATATTATGTGTATATATTGGATAGAAATAAGTACATTGGGTTTAATTTAGTGAATCAACAAGAGCTAGTGTAGACTACTAGCGATCCAGATCTAAAATCAAGGGTTATTTAAAGACCGCCTATTTGCTTTAGAAACCATCATGGACCGAAATTAGTGTGTTACTCTCACGTCATAGGTTTGCGGCGAGACGGAGATCTCAATTAGAGAAGAGGTTTCCTGTTGATTTGACAAAGTTCTGATCGACACATGTCAATTTCGCAAGTTACTTGCTAATGGGAAGACTCAATATATCGCCATGTATAGCCACTTTCCGCTATCAATGTCAAACTCATCATTCTCATTATCTCTAGTAATATCAATAGTTCAAATAACAACAGTAATGAAAATAACAACCGCAAATTCCGGGCTCAGCTAGCTAGCTGAAAACAACATCTTATTCGCTACCGGCATTAGTACGTCCTACTGAGGATGGACTCGACGCCGGAGTCCACTTTAGGATGTGAACATTCCGAATTGTTAGCATTATAGGATTGAAACATAGAGAATATTCAATACTGATTTTTATACCACCGATTTCCCTTTTCCATGATGATCAGTGAGAGATGGGATTTGAAATGTTTGAAGAGTAGGAAGATGGAACTGAGTGAATTAGCGCGGGGTAAATATTGAAGTATACCTCTTAAGCAGCGTGATCAGAACCAAATGAATCAATACTGAGTTATATAAAGATCCGTTTTCCAATTTGAAGTATTGCAAAGTCCCCCGAAAGGTGAGTGAAATCGATTCGATGGGAAATTGGAATTCGCTTCTGTCCGATCTTGTTTCCGATATCTCAGAATGTGTGGGAGTACTTCATTGTAGCCGTGACCGACAGCTATACCTCAGACAACCGAACACTAGTGAAACTTCACTGTCGGTAAACTATTGAAGTCGCTAGAATTTCATAGTCGCTTTCCTTTTAACTATCCTTCGCGTTGTCACTGATCGTGTTGTCACTTCAGATCATGATTTAGACAAGTGTTATCTCAAAGCATTCGAATCGAACCGGCTTAAAATCTACGCTGCTTGACACTGGTTTTGGTGCAATTTCAGCGAAGCAGTCTCGACCACACGAAACCACATCGACTGGCGGTCCATCACTGCCATTTCAGCATGGAGATTCCGGAAGAGGCATGAGAGCAAGCTTATATAATCCCCCATCTATCATTCTCCACAATGTGATTTGTGTACGCGAAGAACAGTAAGCCGAGACGAAAGAGGGGGTCGTTGATTGCAAGTGAATTCCCTGTTCTTGCTCTTCGAAGCTCGAGCACACATTTAGTAGTCTATAATGGCTACATAACTTGTGTATAAATTTTCTAGGCCCCCCCATTCCATCTTTATATGCACCCAGGAAAGATCGTTCGTGCTAAAGCTAGCATATCCGAATAGCATATCCAGATAGTTTCGCATAATCCTTAAACGTTGTGTAGGGTGGTTTGAAGGCGTATATTCCGGGGTGGAGGATTTAAAGAGGAATGATATAGCGAGGCTATCAATTCGTTATAAGCTGGTGATAGCTTTCTACTATCCCTCATCTATTCGCCACTCGTAACTCTTTATATAGAAAGGACATCAATCATATGTCCATGGCAAAGAACATAAGAAAATGAGGCGTAATACCTCTACAAATTCAATCAATCAAAGAAGTTGGTCGTCATGACGAGAACAGTAATCTATAGATATATTCTGGATATACAGGAATAATATTTCTAGCATAGCTCGCACTATACTAGATAAAAGCAACCGAAAAATACCAAATATTAGAAATCATTTGCACCAGTCAGGAGGATATGAGGGATGAAATATCACCCACTATCAGGCACGTCATATCAAGTACTGAGTAAATACTACCAAAAGCAAAATTCATGAAGAATCAAGCCATCATTTTCATTATCGTGATCCATCACGCGGCGTTGCAGGTGATTTCTGCGGGGGTCAAATTTTATCGTACTAGGGTAGTGATTGGATTAATGGTACAATGCAATGAGGTTCTAATCCGAAAATAACCAGCCCCCATAGATTAAACTATTGAATTATTTCCGCGTTCGAATATCCATGTTTTTTTGACTAGCCAATCATCTGTGTTGATATTCATCATTTCGGGTTGTTACTACTAAAATTGGTGATCATTGCTTGCGATTCTAGTACTGGACTAATATCAACGACTGAAATTTCGTGAACTCCGACGAAGCGCGAGTCTGATGTCTTGTCATAGTATTGGAAGCTTCAACTTTGGTACGAAATTAAACCCCCCCGATAACGGCTGTCCAGCTGTCAGTACTATCCAAAGTCTAAATTTTTATTTGTGGCGCTAATCTGCGAGCCAGATTCAGGAGCAGGGTCAATTTGTCAAGTAGATTGAAGATCGTCCCATCACGTTGCATTGAGTGCTCTCGCCGCACACCTGCATATCAGAAGGTGGGTAAGTGTTTATTATGTAACACCGATGTTCGAAGATACTCAAGGAATGTACTTCTCTCATTTTCTTGGAAGGTCGGAGAAATTGGAGATATTGAGGATTTTCATGATTTCGTAGTTTTCACTGTTAGGAATGATGAATTTATTCATTCTTTTCCTCTTCCTTATTCAAAGCGAGGCAATCACCATACCTGAATCTCCACTTCCCACACCTGCTTCAAGCGTGCCAGTCCAATTGAGAGCCCGTCAAACGACGTCGTTTGCTACACTTTGTGGATATTCAAATGGCGACATCGAAATTCCTCGGACAGCTGAACCCGGATATGCTTGTCGCGAAGATACTATCGATAATTTATGGGGATTTTGCCCAAACACTATAGCTGAAGCTACCAATTGTGATTTTGTTGGCTACTGTGTCGACGATGGTACTTGCTCTACCGGTTGTGGGAGATCTAGTTTGACACAAATTCGTTGGTATGTACATTATTTGACTGTTGGATAAATAGCCTGTCACTTGAAGACTAATTTTACTGTAGTACAAACGCGATGCCATATTGCTCAACAGCTTTATTAGTTTCCGAAGAACAAACATATACGTATCTCACATGTGCAACATCGCCAACCAGCAACTTTTATCTGGTCAATCCAACAAGCAGTTCTGTATCGACAGTTTCGTCGGCTTCGGGATCACAAATATCAACAACGCAATATTATTCTACAATTGTTGTCGCAACGTCCTCATCAGCTCCTAGTACTCAGACAACCAGTGCGCAGTCAACTGGTGCGAAGGCTTCACCAAACAATGTTGGAGCCATAGTTGGAGGAGTCCTTGGAGGCCTTGCTCTTATTTTCCTTATTGTTATTGCTCTGATCTTCTTGAAACGATATAAACCATCGACTTCACTGAAAGACGAAAAAGATATCAATGGGGGATCAATAGCCTTTACAGGACCTGTTGCCGACAATGGCGGACTGCACGAGCTTTATGATTATAGAAAAGAGGCTAGGGAGCTTGATTCTAACACCTCGGCAATGAAAACAAATTCAGATTTGAAGTCCGGAGTCTTGACTGGGAATGAGACAACAAGAAGAAATACTACTGCGGTTGAATTGGATATAACGCCTTGATGCATTCAAATAAATCACATGTATTATAGGTCTGAAACTATCCTTCAAGTGACAATCATCTGGCGAAATCAACTCTGATTTGGCCATTTTAATTCAAGGGAATCATTGTATATCGAGATTCTTTGTTGGTTGTCTGAATAATCTGAAGTGTAGGTTATGAAGCCAAACCGTAGAATATGGTCATGCTGATGTTTTATATCCTATTTATGGAATTTTAATAGGCTTTTTGGCTTAGCAAGACAGACTCTTTGTTTCTTCTGAACACCCTTCGACGACACCAAGCAACCACGTCTCTGTATTTAGGCACAGAGTGAAAGAGGGCGCTTTCGTAATCTGCGGAATATTGGAAAGAAGCAAGTAGCTTGGGTGAAATCTTTAAGTGCTGAGAATACTCTCATGGTGCTTTTCTCTGATATCCATTTATTAGATTGGTAATATCCCACACGCACTTGCGTTGATTATCCTCCTTACTTTCAATTCCCGATTGGAATGACTTGAATCACCCAAAACTAACACCAGAATTTGATATCATGTGAAAAATACAATATTTACATTGCCGGTGATCGATTTGAATACATCGCTCGCAGAATGGTCATGAACAGATATTGATCAAGGCATGCTGATGCCGTTATTGTCCCCTAGAGCTAGAAGCAGCGGAACAAAGCGATGGCGAAATACCTGCTTTGAGCAATTTGGGACTCTGCAGCCAGTAAGTCAAACCATCCAAAATTCTACCTGCTGGAAGGACTATTGGTGGTCGATAAAATCACATCGAATTCATCCATCGAAATGTTGATAATGTCGACGTTGAACTTCTCACAAAATCCTCGGGTTACGCAGAGGTGGACGGACCTCTCGAAATGCACCATTAATTTGATTGGACAATATGTCCAGATACACGTGATAAGGCATTCTTTTGTTGCATGTCATGATTCTGGGAGAAGTTTTGCGAAGGATTCCCAAAACCGCCAAAAGGTTTCCTCCCAAATTCCCGGGATTCCCAAGACGGCCAGAAACAATTTCCTACCCCCATCAATACTTCACACAATTTGGTCCGCAATGATTTGATTGAAATATTTAGTAATTCTTGGTCCAATATTCACATGTTACTAAATGATTTAATCATGACGAAAATAATCTCTACTACTTGATTGTCAAAGTCAATTCTCGGATTTTATCGTTCACTTCAAGTGATGGGAAATGCAGACTTATATAAAGTCTAAGACAGCTTCCTCTTTTTTGCATGTCCTCTCTCTTCTCTCGAAAGCGAATGTCACTGGTGGCTTTACGTTTCATTCCAAATTACCAATAATGGAGGTCAACTTTACCTGATTCTATCGCACAAAGCTGTTTCTGCAGAAGCAAAGGTTTGACGTAATGGCTGAGGCTCTGTACATTTTCCCCTCATAATGGAAGTCGCGATGCGCAATATGTTCGAGCATCCGTTGTAGCAGGTAAGTGATCTGGAGTACGCCTGCCAGATTCAGATTTGCCATTTCCTAATCTGGATCTCTTTGGGAAATTGTGTGTAGGAAAAAGCCTCTCAATCCAAAAGTCTTTCAAGTTAGAATGCGAGACACACTCACATTTATGCTCTTCTCTTCAACTCCTATCGCTCAATCCTCGAATCATGGCTTCAAGTCTCACAGTATCTCTCGTGGCAGCTTTTCAAGCAAGCATGGCTGTACTCCTAGTGATATTCTACGGTGCTCTATCGGTATACATGGAGCTTCTCGATAGCAAATCTGCCAAAATGATGTCCAAAATCTCAGTCAAATTCTTTCTACCCGCATTGGAATTTGTCAAGATCGGCAGAGAATTACATGCTGGAGGAGGTCATCGTTACAACGTCATTTTGGTGTGGGCATGTTTAACACATACAATTTCATTCTTGATTGGAGCAGGTGCTCATTTCATCTTCGGGATGCCGGATTGGATTACTGCAACTATAATGTTCAATAACACGACAAGTTATCCTTTAATGTTGATTCAAGCTTTAGACCAAACTGGTCTTTTAAATCCGTTACTTCTAGAAGATGGGGGAACAGGATATAATCCAGTCGAACAGGCAAAGTCATATTTCCTTGTTTATTCGGTTCTCTCAAGCTGTCTGACATTTGCCATTGGTCCTCGTATGATGGATACAGAATTTGCAATTGATCCTCCGATGAAGAGGATCTTTTGTCTGCACTCGCACAGGTACAACAGGACAGGGAGGGTGAAAGTGAAGATGATGATGAAAGATTGCATTTTCCTACCGAACACACCAATCTTCTTTCGCCTCAGCATCGACCAGCAATTTCTAGCAGATCTACCTCCTTTTTCCCATCGAGACGTGCTTCGGCTACTATGACACCTCCTACACGAGATACAAATCGAGCAATCGTATACGAAAGACGTCCCTCCTCTATTATAAGTAGACGAAGATGGTTTGAACTTAGTGATCGAGTTCGATGGTGGTTACTTTTCTTTTACGACTTCTTGAACGCACCTCTTCTTGGTGCCATAGCCGGTGCAATCGTCGGACTGTCACCAATTCTCCACCGAGCATTTTTCAACGAAACAGTTGACGGGGGAATTTTTACAGCATGGCTCACCGCATCTCTTGAAAATATTGGAATTCTTTTTGTCTCTCTACCCGTCGTAGGTGCAGGAGTATCACTCTACTCAGCCGTCACCAAAACTAGTGAAAAGGGGAAAGGCAAAGAACCTACTAGCACACCCTGGTTTACAACTTTCTACGTTCTCGCAGTACGATTCGCAATTTGGCCTGTTATTTCTACGGGAATCATTTACTATTTGGCGAAAAACACAAATTGGGTGGGAGAAGATCCAATGCTTTGGTTCTCGATGATGTTCATGCCTTTGGGTCCACCGGCTGTGAAACTTATCACAATGGTAGAGGTCAGTGATGCTAAAGAGGAAGATCAACATAAGGTTGCTAAATTACTCGCGGTAAGTTTCGCTGGTTTCTCTATGAAGAATGGTAACTAATTTCCAAATAGATTTCGTATGCTATATCTCCAGTCATGTGTTTTGCGGTTGTTGGAAGTTTGAATGCATGCCAAGCGGCAAAAAGTTGATGGTTTTACTTCATGACTTTTTCGCATGCTCATGGATGGTAAATGCGGGAGACTTTTGAAGCTTTTGAGAATCATTATCAATCTGTGCAAAATATGAAGTTGAAATGGGTTTTACGAGGAACACCGGCATACAAAATACGCCGTTTTGCATCGTGCGTCAAGCTGTTTGCATTTTATCATTAGATCTTGATTTGAATCATACTCTAGCTTAAATTTTTGTTCGTCGAGAGAATTAGAACTTATGGCGCCTTTTTTGGACTTATGTGAATGCTTTCGCATCGCTGCGAAGGTTTCAAGATATCGTGTTCCTAGACATAACCTCGGACGATGTGACGAAATGATATGGAAAACTTGAGTGGAGTAGCTTAAGATGGCGATTAGTACCGCTTAACATATTTGATGTTGATTGGAGCCATAAACAAATCAAAACGGGAGTATTAGTTCCATGCCATGTTTTCCCAAGTCAACCCTGATGTACCTGCTATTGCCACAATACTTACACACATACATCCCTTTCTCTTTCTCTTCTTCTTTCCATGGAAGAAGTAAATAGAGGAATCTAATTTATCAAATGGAGATCGTTAAATTCCTTCTCGGCAATAGAAGGTGTAAGCGTGGGTTGGTACTAGGTGGTAAATGTAAATTTTCACTGTTTGATGCTTGAAATTGGAGCTTGAATGTTTCGATTCCTGATGATCTCGTTCATTGATGTTGTAACTTTTTCGGAAATTTGTATCGTGAGATGAGTTTGTGGATGAGTTTGTGGGTGAGAATAAGGATAAGGATGGGGATGAGGATAAGGATGAGGATAAGGATGAGGGATGGGAGGGTGTTATGTGTTGTGTGTTGTTTGATCTATTTTTTTTTCTTTTTTTTTTTCTTTTTTTTTTTCGGTTTGTAATCTGTGGGTGATGGAGGAGAGGGGAGGGGAGCGGATGACAGGATCGTAGAGTTTTATTTATTTATAGAGGAGCTTGATTCCTCATGAGATATGCGTACAAATTGTGTATAGCAGATACATACACACGTACATACATACATGTATACAGCTCCGTTCTCCAAATCGTTTGTTCTATCAATTTGATATCTGAAATCCATCTAGTCAGTGGAAATTTTTCATCCATCCATCCATCTACCCACTCCGTATACCCTCTCTCACTTCCTTCTCATCACACACCACACATCTCACTCCGAAGCCAGAAAAAAAGTAATCAAGCAAGAAAGGCATACAAGAAAAGCAAAGGAAAATGACCCCTGAAATTCCTCCCCTTCACTCTACCCCGCGTACCGCCAACACGAACTCGACTCCCCACCTCCATTTTCCACACCCATCTCCTTCCTCTAATCGCGAGCTGTGCTTCGCTGCCGCATCTGATTGGGGAACGGGGAGGGATCATCGATAAGGGGAGAGTGCGGAGGGTAGAGTATGGAGTATAGAGGGGAGAGGTAGAAACACGACATGCTTGCTCAGTAGGTACACGAAAGGACGTCGTTATGAAGATGCAATTTCCGCATTCCTTTAATCTTGCACCCGGGATGAAGAAGAGAGTTCTAGTTCTGGATGCTGCTAATTCCTATTCCTGTGGCGGGGTGAGCGGGATTCCTTAGCGAAAAGGAAAAGAGGTACTTACTGTTGAGTATTACTTGGATTCGTGAGGAGAGGTTCTCGAGTGCGAATTCTATAGGCTTGGAATTCTCGTCATGTATGTGGAGCACTCTCATTTAGGACAGTCTATGTATCTTTCGATATCTCAAGATCTCGCTTGAAGTGTATACTCGCGCCGGACGTATACCTCGTGTCGTGTACTGGTGAATCTCTTGGTGGAGTGTCAGCCTATACCTTGTTGGCATCGAGAGCGCGATCTACTCATGCGATTTGGGGGGTTTTATGAAGCTTTCCATTTTCTTGCCATGATTGGTCTTGGTCTTGTCTCTTTGAGTTTAATAGATCACGATTTCATGAGTTGTTAACTAATGATTTTGTGGTGTATAATGGGGTTTCTTTTGGGGGCGCGAGATCAAAGGAATTGAGATTCCTATTTTCTCGATATCACCAGATTTTCTTATTCTTTTATTGTCCCAGGTAGTCGGATTTCCGTTGTATTTCGTACAATTTACACTATACTTTCACAGCACATCACATCAACCAACTAAAGAATGAAAAGTAGCCGACTTCCCTTATCTACATTGTTCTATCAACTAGAGGCTGTTCACCTTGGAGACCTGCTGCGGTTAACACAAAGCCCCGATCTGCTGGTGATCACTACCCACTTGGCAAAATGGTTACTTGATATATACCACAATGTTCTATAGATCCCCAGTCGAAAGAAGGTCGATTAACTCATGAATGGATGGCAGCCAAAGGCTATGACTATTCAGTCCCCAGTTCAACAATAGGTAGTTCTTGATTCCGGGGTCAACAAAATACGTGAATTGCAGGGCATACATCCCAGGTATAGACCAAGAGAGTACTTTTGATGAATCAGTAAAGCTCAATATTCCCTGTAACATAATTCTAAAGGTGCAATGGCCAGCGAATAAAGGAAGGTCTGAAATCGACACCTAAGACTTTGAGCATTGACTGCCTAGTAGTAATGCGGGGTAAGACATGGCATCTCAGGAATTTAGTTGAACATTAAGTTTGGGGAATTGTGCTTAGGATTTTGTTGTCAATGCAGCTTTGTAATTCACGCCCTCGAGCTTGTAAGACGTTGTTCATCGTGATCGTCAATTCTAACCGGGTAGGTTCGAGATTAGGAATAGTTGCTTTTGAGAAGTTCGGTTGTAAATTACGTGAATTTCACGTAGCTACCTTGAGACATGATGAAGTTTTGAGGGAAAAGGAACTGGGTCGAAAGTTGTACTTCGAGGATACAAAAATGTGAAAGAAGAGACAACCGATTTGTGTTGAAGATCCTTGGTTTCAAAAATTGAGTATACAAGTCCTTATCACTTGGGCTCCGGAAGTATATTCTCAAAGGCCATGTTGCCAAGTTGACATTGATAACTTTACACTAGAATCAAGTCAATAGATATTGAAGTAATGTGAAGGAATATTGTATGAATATAAGCATGACTCAAACTCTTTTACGCATGAGATAAAACTAACCAAGAAGCCTCATGCTTCGAGAGGTGTGTTCAATGGGACCCTTGAAAAGTAAGGTTTAAGTTCTTTGTAGATCAAAGTCAATAAAGCAAACAAAGCTCATACGATGATTTTATAGTCCTATGCTAGACTCTTCATAATGCTCTCAACTCCATTTGCTTGGATTCGGATACATACCCACATACCGATAGTCCGAAGGATGATACCAGAGATACCTTTCCAGGTCCGCAAGAACTTTCTTTTACGTCGAATACTTGGCATGAAAGTATAACCGACTTCTTTAGGTTCAATCTCGGAAACAAAAAGATGTGCAGATAAAGAACATTGAACCTTGGTTGGCGTCAGATCATGCGGATGCTTAATGCCTGTATCACGTGATTGGAACAGAATAACACACAAAGAAGCCTCCCTCTCATTCCATATCATATCAACTCGGACAGAACAATTGATCGCCGAGAACTATAACTGATCATGTCGTTGTACTTGAGATCCTTTAATTGAGACAATATTGATGACTTCATCTAAATCCTATTCCCTTTTTGAAAGGATTTGCTACCTTTTTCGGGACAAACAACATACTTCAAAGTGGTGATTGGATGGCTGTAAAGTGCCTTTGTTGAACCACGAGAAAACGAGGGATTGAGGGAATCGAAGCTTGCATCCCAGAAATGGAAGCTTTTGTTTATCGATATGAATTCCTGCAATCAGAAGCCGTAGCACAACTTTAGGGGGGTTCTAACCTCGCATTTCGAACTTCGGGTGGCTTCCAAGTGGACACAATTGATTCGTCACAACATTCAATTGTCGCTTCGCCTCCACTCAAAGCTTGCGGTCGTCTCGGAAAGTGGCAATCATTGACGAATCCAACATTGATCTTCTTGGGGTCCTTTGATGATCCTGAAGATCAAATGGCATATCTGGTGGATATATATGAATTAAGGAGTCGCTTTCCCTTGTTACTGTTTCAATAAATTGGATAAATGTGATGCCCATACAAATCTTTCCATTCCTTTCTTTCGGCGTTTGCTCTCTATATGAAGAATGACGATCATTCGTCATCATGAGCAACGCTTTTGATAGCAACGGCCCAGAAATTGACAAGAAAGCTTAACACATCACCCAAGAGAAAGTATATGAAGTACATATGCATGTCTATGAGGAGCTTCATCAATTGGTGCTCCGTGTAAGAAACCCACCACATGTATGCAAGATTATCTTGTCCAGGTGTGTGAAAGATTCCCTGAACCACTTAAATCTGGGGAAAGGAGCACTAAAGCATGTAGTGATTTTTTAATAGATAGCCCACGGCAGATATAGAAAAGTGGAAAGTTAAGAAAAGGAAGGGAGCAATTCCGGTGAAGAGACGAATGAAGGGACAATATGTTGTGTAAAGTTTGACTTTGTCCAACCTTGTTGAAAGTTTTGATGGTTGTCTGTGGTTGCTGATCTCAATAGTTTCGCCATAAGATACCGCTCAAGATCAAGCACTGACTAGTGCGTGTGTCGACCCCACGGCGGATGGGAAGATCAACGCCAACCCTTTTTAAATATGGGAATGAATGTGGAAATTCATCAATAATCTAGATGATCTGATGAAGAGTACGAGTACTTGGAAGTCATGAGAATTATAAATCCGATCTTATGGTTTTCGGATCATGCCGGTATGACAATCATGCTCCGGTAGCGATCCTTTGCTTTCTAAGATGATAAATGATCCCAAACATAAGAGACCTGCAGATAGATGAGTTCATGGGAAAGTAAAGTTCATACGATTAATCGTACTGTACGCTGTAGTACATACGAACAATCACGCAATGATACGCAAGACGACCTAGATGATCCAGTAAATATGTCGGTAGTTGGATTGAACGTATTGATAACCCATCTATGTCGGTACCAACCAATAAAGATTAAATGTAACTATTGATAATGATAATAATAATAATAATAATAATAATTATAATAATAATTATAATTATAATGATTATAATAATCATAATAATCATAATTATGTTTAACAAACACACGACATAGAGTACAAGTAACAGAGTTGAGATACAAAGGAATATGATTATATATCTCAAGCCACTAATTGATGAGTTATTGCTCCAGCCAGCACCTGAGGATATCCTTACCCACACATCCTCAGACACTGCACGGAGACGGCTTCCTTGAAGTTCCTTGTCGAAGAACGACGTCAGATACAAATCGGGCTTAGCTCGCCAGATTTAGCATTCTTTAGTGTGGTTTTCTTTGCGGGGAAAGCCTTAGCAGCGGTGGACTAGACAGGGATTATGAATGTGGCTATCGTTGCTGTGAGTGAATCACCTTGACCCCTTCCTCTTCCCTTTCCTTCCCTTCCACTTTCACGTTCATAAGGTCGACCTGATCCCTCTCTCTTACCAGATTCTATATATCAATGAATGAATCTTCTTATCTTTTCCCTCTTTCCTATCAATTCAAACTAAACCACAACACTTTCTTCCTGTCTCAATAAACAACTTCTACTTCATACCTTCCTTCTTTCTACCTTGCCCTTCTAGATTTCTCTCTCTTTTTTACACAATCAATTCTACTGGATATTGTAGAACCTCAAATAACACCACACACTTGCCAAAAATCCCATACGAAAGATCAAGATCTTACCCCACACCCCACACAGACATACACACACATACACACACATTATAAAGTTACCAACCATTGAGTAGGTGACTTTAACGAAGAAACGAAAAGAAAGGGAACAAAGAAACTCGTGGGGATAGCTCCGTTGATATCAATTCTAAGTAAAACGAACTTCGTTTTATCAACGACAAAGAAATCCTTATCAAACACGACACAAATCGAATATATCAGCTTCCCACCCTATACCCCGAAGCTGAGAGAGCAGCTTACGGCTATCTGAAGAATCTCTCATTCAATACTTCGCCTAGGTTTAACAATCAAGCCATCAACATCACCGTCGTGATATTCGACCAGATAAATTCCCTCCCGACCTTTTAAAGTTTCAATCCAAACGCAGATATGTCTTCAAACGGCAATAGCAATAACGGTGGCACTACACCTCCAAACGAATCCTCTAGACCTCGTCGTGGTTCCATCACTGCACAAACATTCACCAACATCTTTCGTTCAAACAGTACATCTGCCGGAGGTCCGGTCGGCCCATTCCCGGGTCCTATTAGCACAGGCGCATCTCAAGATCATAAACGAAGAATGTCAATTTCTACACTTGGTTTATCTGGTGCTGGTGCATCCCCTACACAATCGTCAGCGTTTCCATTTGGTGGTCGACGTGGTAGTGTATCAACTACAGCTTCCGAATCAATCGATGAAAGTGCTATTGACGATGAAGATGGACCTTCTAGAGGTACACCAACTACACCTTTTGCACGTCGTATGTCATTTGGTGCTCAAGCACTTCGAACTGTTCGCACGGGTAATGGTAGCCCGGGCACAAATGGTAGAACTCCTTCTTATACTACTTCTACATTATCCCCAATTCCAGCAGGTTCACAAGGTGGTGGTAGAGTAACCCCTCCAGGAACTCAGTCTCAACAGGCAAGCACGCAATCAAAACCCAGAACTCCCTCTGACTTTGCTTCTTCTGCTCGTCCAGGTGAAGGCGGTTTCAACTGGTCTGAGCAGCTTAGATCTCGTGCCGAGAGTCAAGTCTCTCAATCCCAACGTCCGATCATGTCAACCTCTCCCCCAAATAGTCAAAGATTTAATGTTCCAATGCATGAGCGAGCCAAGAGTATTGGTGACGCCCCAGCTCCACCAACTTCCGTCATTCCCCCTGTCGCGGCACCAAAGCCTGCTCGAAAGCAACCTGATGCCTTCCAAGAACGTATTTTGAAGGGCGATTTTTACATGGATTGATTACTATGAATACGCACACAAATTTCCTTTTGTCTTTCTCGAGCAAGAGCTTGAAAATGGCCAGGAGTGGACCTTTCAAAGTTATGGCGTTTATTGATCAAATCATTAAAGGAACAAAGGAATTTCTTTACAACTATCGATTACAACCATCTGCAACTGCTTTCGCTACAATATAACATGGATACAGAATGTCGAATCTGCAGAATTGGGATTGAGCAGACAAAATGAACGATGGAAACAGAAACAACGAAAATATCCACAGCTCTAGATAGAGCAAGAAATGGGAATATTATAGGATTGGGTGATCGGATATCGGAGTGTACGCTGGACGTTTCATTTTCGAAATTTATTTTACTTCTTGGTTGAGGTTCAAGATGCTAGCTATAAGGCTTACTCGGCTCAGAATATGCTCAACGGAGCAAACGATACAAGCAAAGAAAGAAATACTGGGCAGACTGGCGCTCAGACAGATGTGTGAGATGGAATACATGGATGCCTTGAAAAGATCCAGATTGATGATTGATGAAACTCTCTGTATTGCTGGCGCTTGTACTTCGCTGGGATTGTAGGCGGATGATTCGGCAAGGCTTACTTGCTTGCTTATATGAATGAAATGAAACGAAATGTTGTTGGGGTTGGGAATGGGATGGAATGTTTAGTTTATGCGTTTGAGCCTTGTACGCAGCTGGCCTTCTCCTTTTCCAAATTGTACTTTACATGAACAAATTAGCTAGCTGTTCTCGGTTGACTTTCACAATGTCGGCGAGCGGATGGAATTCAAAAAACATGTTAAAATCAAAATCAATCTCGATTTGGATTTCCAATTGTGACTTTTATCTCGACCTGTTGATTGATTGTCCTGGCACATTCGACAACGTACTTGGTGTGTGTATCTTTATCTTCGCAAGCTTCGAAGTGCTTGTTCATCACATGTCTCCCTCCAGAATCTAAGGAGATGATAATAACCCTGAACATACATCGTACGACTACTAATCCATAAAAATAACAATGGATGGGGGCAAGCCCCCAAACCCCCATTGCTCGCTGCGCTCGAGGTATTTGGTCGGTGGTGGAATGAGTGATGAGTGATGAGCGATGAGTGATGAGTGATAGGCATTGGGTAATGGATAATGGGCATGTGTGTATATATCATGTAGAAAGTTTGGAATATGAATGAGGGTTTTTGGCTGCTTTTGGGTTGCTTTTTTGCTGGGTTGGGTTCGGTTGGGGAGAGGGGAGGGGAGGATGGGGGTGATATGGAGATGGAGAAGCGCATACACATACACATAGGTATGTGAAAAAATGAGAAGATTCGATCGAATGCATAATTGATGATACGAGTATGCTAGAAAAAGCCATAGATAATTGAGGACTAGCGTCATGGTTCATGAGCAAGCTCTGGAGTTGTATTAATTTTGGTTATTCTGCTATGGCTCTGACTCTAACGTCCTACATAGATATGAAGGGTTGATGAATGGAGGTAGGGTGCATAGTCCTCGGTGTGGTACGGTATTTCTTTACCTGTATCTGTGTTTCTTCTTCTTCACCACAGGAAATTATCGCTCCAACAAATTGGTATATTTACAGCATTTTCTTCGCTTCCTTTTCTCTATCCCTTTCTATCTCAAATCTGCTCTATTTTCAAAACCATGAGAATTATGTCTACGATTTAATCATGAAAATCTGTTGAACAATTAGCACTCATCCCTCAGAAAATAAAATTTCCTCTGGGGCAATAAGAATACGAACCTGGTTCAAACTTGCAACATCCATACTAGCCATCCTCTTCTGCGCAATATGTCGAGCTCGTATAGAGCGTATGCCCATTGGTGTTGATCTTCCACTACTCTCTGAGACTATTGGTGTACTTTCTTTGGTGGAGGTTTCGGAAGTGGAGGATGATTTGTGTTTATCTTTCTTGGACTTTTTGGAGGATTTGGAGGTAGAGGTTGTTTCTTCGGTGTCTACGCCTGCTGCTTCTTTCTCTCTTCGCTTTTTTTCTTTCTTTTCCTTTTTGCGTGCTTTCAATGCGGATTCGTCCAAGGTTTCATTTTCGGATTCGGAGGTAGATTTCGATTTCGACTTGCGATCTTTCTTGGATTTTTTCGATTTCTTGGATTCGGACTTGTCCTTATCATCCCCATCTTCACTCTTCCTCTTCTTGCTCCTCTTTTCCTTCTTCTCCTTTTTCTCCTTCTTGCTCTTCTTGCTGGATGTCTTCTCTTCGTCTTCCTGCTCCTCTCTCTTTCGTTTTGACGACTTCTTCTTCTCGGTCACAGGTTCTGGTGATTTCTCTTCTTCCTCCTCATCCGAGCTAGAATCACTTTCCTCACTGCTACTCTCTGCTGCCTTCTCTTTGATCTCCAAAGCCTTGAGTCTCTCCTTCTCTCCATCAATTAAATCCTGAATCTTATCACCAATCAAAACCCCTCCTTTAACAAATCTAATACTCCCCCATTTCCTCTCCGCATAAATTGCCCTCTTCAAGTCTTCCCTTCCTTTCTGTTCCTTTTCTATTTCCGCTTCTTCCTTTCCATTCAACCTCCCTAACAAATTTTGGAAAACGTCTAAACCTGTGCACTCCCCATGTCCTACTCCACTCCCTATTTTCGCACCCAATCCTAATGTATTATCTTTAATCACCACACGAATATGCGATGCATTGGCTTCGGTATGGAATTCTGCATGCGCGGCATCTTTTGCTCCAAGATATTCACCAGGTGTCCAGCCCTGTGATTTCATCATGCGATGACCGAAACTGTCGGTATTTCCAGACCATCTTGTATTATTTGGATCGTGGGAGAGTTTTATTTTGCTAGAGAAATGTTTGTTAGCTTATGATTTATTATGAACAATCCATTGAGAAGAAGCGATGAAGGGGAACACACTTCTTGGGAGCAGCGAGACCCATCTTTGTGGTGGAATTGGGTGTGGTGGTAAAGAATTGAAAATAAAAGAACGTTTAATGTTTTGGTGTTGATAGATATCGAGAAATCGGAGAAAAAAGTGGTCGGGAACTTTTTGTAAATTTTAGTGGGGTAGGGATATCAAGATAGTAAGCTAGTGTCTGATTGGCTGGGTTGGGGAGCTTCGATTTCACATGCATCTCATCTCATTATCGACTTTCACTTTCCACTCAGATATTTATTCATTCATCCATCATCAAGAGTTCTTCTCATCCAATATCTCAGATCTCCAGATTCATCAAGAATCCCCCGTCTCATTTTGATTTACACAGAGTCAATTTCTTCGACGTACGATCCTCGCGTTCCCCATACTCTCGTTCGCAATGCCAGGTCACTTTACCATGGATGACGATGCAGGATCCCTCATTTCCTCCCAAGATTCTGTTCCAGATATGGATTTTGTCGAAAGAGCCAATCAAATGATGGCCGATGTATTGACACCTTCTACACCTTCCTTATACTTAGACTGACAAGATATCTTCCAGACAAAAAAGCGCCGTGATGCAAAGCGTAACAAGATTGAAAATGAACGTGCCCAGCGTATCAAGGAAGTCAAGAAGAAGCTTGGTGTTTTATATGAGAATAAGAAAATCCAAAGGTGTGTCTTATTCTCTTGCAACTCATCAGTCATTTTCATCCAGTATTCATATCTTGCACGGGATGTGATTCCCCAAATCGCAGCTGTCGAACCCGAGTTTTGACTTACAGGAAGAGCTCAAAGGTCTATCACTAACGACCAGATAGAGGCAAACTTCAAAAGGCTCAGTGGAAACAACTTCATTCCCTGGACAAGAAACGTCAAGAGCTTGAACGTCGTATATTGGACAGCATGAAAATCATCGAGAGTAATACTTTGAGCATAGCTCGAGAATTAAACGCTGTTGTTCTTGCTCGTTTGAGTGCTATGGAGAAACTGGCCGATATCCAGGACGCTGCTTGAAGACATGTTCGTGGTGTGTACTACGTTTCTGTGTCAGCTATTGATATTGTCATGGGAGAAGGTTGACATCTAAGATCCAAACATTGCTATTCATTATTGCTATACCCATACTCACTCACAGAACATATACTTATTTTAGACCGTCGGACAAATGGACAGGGTAATCTGGGTTGGGAGTACGGTCGGAAGATACCCCTGGGAGCTTGCTTATTTATATTGCACATTATTAGCACAATATCAAACACTCATCTTTTCACTGACATGCAGAGTCCAAACACTTTAAAAGTCCCATTTGATTTTTCTTCCATAAATCTTACAATTCCTCATACCGCTACTTTGGTATCCGTACAATGCTATATTACAATCAAAAGTCCTCTCCCTATTCATCAAAACCCCGTATCTTCCTTCCAAAACCCAACAATCCTCCCTAATTCTGCAATCCCGTTCCTAACCGAATCAATAATAACCTTGGCAATTCCCTCTCTCTTCCCCTTTCCTTTTCCAGCTCCTCCTGGCATATTTGGTTCCTCACTCCCCATAGTGGGCAACACATTATCACTCGCAGACAAAGAGACAAAGAGTGCGAACGGCGTCAACCATACACACAATCCGAAATACGAAGCTATCTGCGTGAAGTCCGGATATCCAGACGTATCGTAGATGGAACTTGGGGTTTGAATAGGACCTGCTGCGAAATGGCGGAACCAAAGATAGTGGTTTACTATTACCAGAGCTAATGCCTATCATGAGTTTTCTGTCTGAATTCGAGATTGGGAAAAGGGGGGAGAACATACCGCACGAAATGAGGAATAGCGGATTGCTCAAATGCACTACTGGGAATCGCCTCATGTTCCCCAAATAGACCAGATGAGAGAGGATACTCATGACGCTGAGTTTGAAACTAAACCCATCGACCAGACATAAAAGGGCTTGGATCCCAATAATCGCATATATCATTCGAGTCAAGAAGCGCTTTGCCATCACCGTGTGTTCCTCGACGAGCTCGGAAAGATAGTATAATCCAGAGGCTATATCATATACAAGGTCAGTATTCGCACATACATATACCCAAAAAATAGCATCGCCAATGGATTCAGGAGACGCGTTCTAGAAACCCAAGCTCAAGAGGATGGGATAAACTTACCAATGGCAGTAGTCAGGAAACCAAACCCAACCGCCACGCCCAGATATCCGACAATGGGTAAGATCCACATGTTGTTCAAAAATTGACAGTGAGATGTTATGAGTGCTGCATTATGTTTGCAGAGGTAAAAAGTGTAAATAGGAGGGGTTCTAGTTAGCTGTTCTTTACCTACCCCAGATATTCGGTTCGGTTGATATTCGGCATACTTTTTCTGGTACTAGAATTTTTATCTTCTTATCGCATTTATTCGGATCGAGAATTGATAAATTTGTGTGCGACAATTCAATTCACTTTATTTCTTAGAAAGTTCAGCGTAAACCTTGGGCATTCGTTTTTTCTCAGGTCTATTTCCATAAACAAGTACAATCGACATCCATCCCCCAATACAAAAATGTCTCGCCCAGAAGATACACTGTAAGATTTCCCCTCCTCTCCTCCCCTCCCCTCCCCTCCATGCGACAATTCCCCATTCCCATCTCCCTAACACACCTCTAGCCCCCCCGACCTCCACTACAATGACACCGAAGCACGCAAATACACCACTTCCTCCCGAATCCAAAATATCCAAGCGAGCATGACCAACCGGGCCCTCGAGCTCCTCGACCTTACCACCCCTTCCCTCCTCCTCGACATCGGCTGTGGTTCCGGTCTCTCAGGCGAAATCCTCTCCGCCGTGCCCGAAGACGAAGGCGGACCACACATTTGGGTCGGAATGGATATTAGTGCTTCCATGCTCGACATCGCATTACAGCGAGATGTAGAGGGTGATTTGATGTTAAGTGATATTGGTCAGGGCGTTCCCTTTCGAGCCGGAAGTTTCGATGCTGCAATTAGTATTAGTGCCATTCAATGGTTGTGCAATGCGGAAAGTAGTGAGGTCTCGAGTGCAGGACGGCTTTCGAGGTTTTTTGGAGGATTGTATGCTTCGTTGAAGAGAGGAGGAAGAGCTGTGTGTCAATTCTACCCGAAGAATGATCAGCAGAGAACGATGATTACTGGTGCTGCTATCAAGGCTGGTTTTGGAGCGGGTATATTGGAGGATGATCCGGGAACGAAAAACGCAAAGTTGTATCTGGTTTTGACGGTTGGTGGAGGAGATGTGGAGACTAGCAATGGAGATATTACGGGAATAGTGAAGGGAATGGATGGAGTTGATGTGTTGGATGCTAGGAAGAAGCATAGAGAAAAGGGTAGAAAGGATGTTAAGAAAGGTAGCAAGGCATGGATTTTGGGGAAGAAGGAACAAATGGAAAGGAAAGGAAAGGTGGTTAAGAATTCGAGCAAATATACAGGACGGAAGAGAAACATTGCTTTTTAGAAGGCTTGGTTTGGAAAAGTTCACGTATGTATTTGCATGCAATGGCGTTGGGGAGACTGGGGTACGGAGTGTCTATGATATCAGTTATTTTAACAACAATGAAAGATATATTTTGTGTAACAACAGGGCTCAAATAATGATGATGCTATGCTCATATTTCTAATAATTGAACCCGTAAGAATCTTACTATCTATAAGTCTTCCTACCTGGCCTAGTGTACCATTGTCGAGATAGCAAGATAGTCAAAGAGGGATGTACAAGTAGATGAAACCCTCTCTGTACGTACTCTAGTCTACCCTCACGGCAGTGTTCTCCGAAGGGCCAGCGGAGCGTCATATACCATTGATGGGGGCAAGCCCCCATATCCCCATTGCTCGCTACGCTCGAAAATCTTCTATCATTAGCTCATCCCCCATGAACTTTGAATCTAGAGACAGAACCGAGCTCGCGGTGGAATAACGGGGAGAGACGTGGTAGGAATGGGAGGAGGTTTGAGATAAACAACCAAATCTTTGAACCTATATGCCAGTCTGTCTGACACTCTTCGAAATAGCAAGTGTTAATCAACTTTGTTCCCTGTAAGCGAAATCATCCCGAACACCTTGATAGCTATATTGCTAAAATTCGAAACAAAATTCGAAACGACAAATATCACTTCAAAGTCAAAGAAAATCTGCGGATATAATGAATTTTTTTCATGCACTTCAACCCCTTAATGTACACTCCGATCCATATCTAGGGTATTCTTTATACAGTCTATCCACCAATCTATGCAGCCAACTCCATCTTATCCAAAATAGCACGAGTGAATTGGTTAGTTGAGTTGTTTCCTCCCATATCACGGGTTCTGACGGTTCTGTAGGAATATTAGTAAATTGTAAACATATAACTCATGAATGATATCACTTACCCTTCAGCAATAACATCATAAACAGCCTTGGAGATTCGGTTAGCATGGTCATCAAGACCAAGATGTCTCAAAAGCATGGAACCAGAAAGAATCATAGCAGTTGGGTTAGCTTGATCCTTGCCCTTGATATCTAAACCAACATGACGGCAACCAGGCTCGAAAACAGCAACTTCACGTCCCATGTTGCATCCAGGAACAAGACCTGGACCACCAACCAAAGCAGCACCAACGTTGGACAAAATTCCTCCGTACAAGTTAGGCATGACCATAACATCGAATTGTTGTGGTCTGGATACACATTGCATAGATGCGTTGTCGACAATCATATCGTTGGTCTCCAAAGTGGGGTAGTCCTTAGCAACATCGTTGAAAGTTTTACGGAAAAGACCATCTGCAAGCTTCATGATGTTGGCCTTGTGAATACAGGTAACCTTCTTACGGTTGTTGGCAAGAGCAAAGCTGAATGCGAATTTGGCAATTCTCTCAGACTTAGCGCGGGTAATGATCTTAAGAGATTCAACAACACCTGGAACCGATTGATGCTCTAATCCAGAGTACTCTCCCTCGGTGTTCTCACGGATAATGCAAAGGTCGACATCCTTGTGGCGAGTGTTGTAACCTGGGATGTTCTTGATGAGAACAATGGATGCGTAGATGTCGAGTTCTTGTCTGAGTGCGACGTTGAAAGATTGGTGACCAGATCTCTCGACAGGTGTGTGCAAGATACCCTTAAGACCAAGCTTATTTCTCTTCAAGGATGCTATTGACTCCCGGAACAAGTCCTCGGAGTGTTTGTCTCCAGTTTCAACACCAGATACATCAACTTGTTCCCATTCGACCGGCACATTGTCTGCTTTGAAAATTGTCTTTACAGACTCGGCAACCTCGGCTCCAATACCGTCACCAGGAATTAAAGTAACAGTATATTTTCCACCATACTTTGTAGGCTTGAAGATATCGGATTGAACAGTTGCGAAAGTTCTAGTGGGAGCGACGTGGGCGGTTCGCAAAAGGCTCTGATAAGAAGTTGGTATTAGCTTGTGACAGACTAAGAGAGAGACATAGACATGATCTGCAAATCAAGAAGATGCGATTGAGAATTCTTAATTAATTTACATACTTGCGCCGACCTGACAGAGTTTCTTGCCAGCATCTTGAAAATGAGAGAATATTAAGGATTTTTGGTAGGTTGATTGTGTTAAAGAAAGCCGTAAATATTCAGTTGGTCGGAATACCCGTGAAAAGGTAGAGTTTAACCCGGCTGGAGATAATCAGCCTTTACCCAATTGGGAAACGGCATGTGGAATCGGTTTGTCACGGAGCGGAATTTCACGCTTCACTTGATTTTTTCACATTAATTAATCTTCGGAAATTCTAACCAAGTATCAACATACGCACATCTACAAGTAGATTCACATAATTCGTGTATATTGTTTGTTGAATCTGTGTTTTTCTATTCACATGATATGGCAGAGTAGAGATTCGAACATTTTTTCTGATTCGTTATATAAATCGACATAGGTACGTACCACGATTCAGCATTTGATGGGAAATTATAAATGCCATTACGTTTACTACCTATCTAGGTATCTAGCACGTGTCTGTGTAGAGTGGGTGCTTCATTGATATTCAATATGACGCTCCTCTAGGCCACTGCCGTGGAGGCGGGGGTTATTTCGCTTTGCTCTAGCTCTAGAAGAGTATCTGTATACACGTTAGAACTTCAATTAATCATACTCTTATGCCTGTTATACGCTACTGTCTGCATCATCGAGGGGTAGTCTCGCCTTGCGGGGAAAGCTCGGGCTCTACTCTCTTAAATGCTCATTATTTCTATGCATGGCAGGATTGAAAGGAGACGCAGTATGCCCCTGGTAGTCTCTCTCTCATTCAACTTAAGTGGAATATTTGATATTGTCAAGCATTAGTTGGTGTATTAGAATACTTGGGTACAACAAGGTGATGGGACTCTGGGTGAGGTAACAATACAGGAGTGTAGTGACTTCCGTTTGTCTCTGTTTAAAGCCTAGAATTACTTGTGTAGATAGATGTATTAAATTCCTGATCTCGAAAAATTCAGAGAATTCTGGCTGTATGGGGAAGTTGGGAGGCTATTCCTCTGAGCATCTAAGTCCTGGCTTCTAGAATGTAGTGGGAAAGAGTAGTAGAGACAAGTTCACAAAGCCATTGTTTTCACGATACATGAAGCCGTTCCCAGCATATCCCGAAACGGGGCATAATCAATTCTTTGACAACTTAGGTACCTTTTTCGATTGTTAACGACAAAACTTACTCCCTTAAAATCATGAGAGAGCTCAAGATGCCAATCACTCAAACATGACAGCTGAAACCAAATCAACACCCTGCGAGTTAATCAACACCTACTATCAAATATGTAACCATGTTACGACATCTCTTCATCACTCTACTCGCATCATACCATCCAAATCCTCCGATCCTAAGTCGTCTACTTCCTCTGACAAAACCATAACAACCTGTCCACAAGTGATCCATAACCTATCACTCCCTCCTCCACTAGACCAACGGCAAAAGTCTGAAACAACACTTTGTCCCTCGATCCTGAAACGTACACTCATAAATTCAGGATATGGATGTCCAGATTGCGAGCCAGAGTATCATCAATCAATCGATCATATTACGACGGGACAAGGTCGTCAGGATGAGAAAATAGTGGACGAAGAGAAAATAAAAAAGAAGAGGCTCGAGTGGTGTATGCTTGCTATTACGGAATGGGAGGGTAGGAAAAAGGCAGCGTGCGGCGATGGATCATCGGGAAGGGATGGTTGAATAATTCAAGAAGAATAGAAGATGATGGACTGAATTCAGTACTTTATGATATGACCAAATCTCATCTGCCAAGATCGCATATTTGAGAAGTTACAAGGTTTTAAGATAGTGCTGTCTCTTTGTAGGCAGATTTTGCTATTTCTAACAATGGAGTGTGCTAGTTCTTCAAATACTTAAAATGTTATGTTTCTGAGTTAGCGTAATTGTGATAACCTCCAAGCAATTTTGACCTTCTATCCGCATGAACCTTCAATTCTTTCTCTCGCTTTTCAATATTGTAGTATTTAGGCAACGATTTGTTATAAGCCTTTGATCTCCCTTTCCATAGCTTTATATCATTGGTAGGATCGTAGTGGGAAAATTGAAGGGTATGGTAGAAAAGAGTGGTAAGCAATACCATTCGCGGTAGTGATGCCTGAATCAGAGGTCGAGTGCCAGGATGGAGTCGATAATCGAAAAAATCAGTAGGTATTACCATTGGCGGTACTGGGTTTGGGTTTGGATAGATGGAGAAGTTTTTCAGAGGAAGAGTAGTAAGATAGGTGACATTCTCACCCACTGTCCCCAGTCGGATCCAACTACAGCAACAATCGGACTTTGTATATCAACGCAACTCGAACATTTGATGTTACTTTACGCTCAGCGGGAGAACACGAGGCAAAGACAATCGGGACTCTTCGTTGATATAATCCCACAATCCAATGACAGCTGTCTCAAAATCGGAGAGATTCCGAAGCAAATATACGGCCTAGCCACACCACAATTTGTGGAGATGGACTTCAGCACGGGCTCGTTATCAAATTACAGCGATCTGGAGATTGAGGAGAATCTTAAGCAAATATATGACTCAACCTTAGCACCGGTTGGAGTCAACTCTTTAGCGAGCCCATCGTCAAATGACAGCGATCTGGAAAGCGAGGAAGCCGGAAACAGATAGACGGCTCAACTTAACTATGGGTTGAAGTTAGGTTTTCTGGCGGGCCCATCGTCAAACCCACCAATCCTGCTGTCCAATAGATATAAGTAAGGGGGAAGGCTTGAGGCGGACTGATGAGTTCCAGCAACCACGTAGAGTGCCTATAACCTCTCCCAATCATTCTGTAAAGCTGCGATTAATATTATAAAGGTTCCACGTGTGATTCGCCCGTCCTAAACGATAAACAAATTTATCTTTCTGATCCTGAAATAAACCCATGGCCTGAAATGCTGCCTGTAAAACAATGCAAGTATATTCCTCATTGTTTCCTGAAAGTGCGTACCACATAGTTCATCTACAGACTTCAGAAATGATTCCGGAGGAAAGGTTCCTTGCAGCTGACCCATCATCTCAACACGAACTTTCTAGGTTAAACCATAAAGCTTAACGGTGGGAACTTGCTTCGACTCAATTTTTTCTTCATGAAGATTGAGGAAATAGCGAACTACAGAATCGCCAAAGCTTGGGCTTAGAAGCGAAGAATGAGAGGCTGGCATGTAATATCCTTGGAGAGAATAGTGGTTAAACGGTGTTCGTGTGTAAAGTGTAGTAGTCTTAAGCCAGGAGAAAACGTTGCCGATCATTGAATATTTCTCCCTCTGCCTTCTCATCCTCAAATAATGGCAGATTAACAAAATCTTGAATGTCATTCTTTCCACGCCCAACGGCTAGAAACACTGCCGTGAAAGGTCGAAAGACATGTCCGAATTCTGAGGAAGTCAATTGATCGTTTTCGCGCTATTGAGAATTATATCAGCATCCCAAGCACTGATTTCATATGATGCTCTTTCAGTCATGTACTAGGATGCCTCAAAAATATAGCAAATGTTTGAAAAGAATGACTTGTTCCCTCAAAATAGGTGTGTTCTAGGAAATCCTCCTCGGTTTGCATCTATAGAGTTTGTAGTTATCTAGTTCCAACTGGAGCATACCCTTGCTGCGTATCCCCAAGTCCAACATTCAATCCCTTCCTCTTATCAACAACTTTTCTCACCGCTGCCCAACCAAGCAAGCCTAAAGTACCAGCAATGAAAGTCAGTACCACAATCTGATCCTTTCTGCTATCTCGTTGAAAGCACGTTGTGAAAACATCTTTCTCCTCGGCCTCTTTACATATTGGCAGTCGCTGAGCGAGACAGAATGCTCGATTACACATAGTACATGTTGCAGCTGGGGCACGAGAGTCGTGCTTCGAGTCTGATTTGTCGGATGAAGAGCTCGAATGTGAAGACAAGGGAATGATGGTGCTATTCGTAAAGCAGGTGCATTTGCAAAAAGACGGCGGTGCTTTAATAACAATTAGCAAATAGGGAATCAACAATCTTGAACAGGTACCTACAGTCCGCTATTGTTGCAACAATCAATGTACACAATAAAAGCAAGAAGTATATGCCCCTCATCTTTGTTATCTAGGGATGTGTCAAGCACTTTGAATTCTGGGTATTTTAGATTACTCAAATATTGGTGAGATTCCTGTTGATGGGCGAGAAAACTTTCAATCAATTTGCTCCAATAAAAAGACCTCTCGATGTCACAATTGATTTTCTGTTGAAGTTGTTACTGTCATCGTTTTGCGATGCGATGATGCGCTTCCCCGGTTGTAAGTTCAAGGGTCTGCACATAATAATTCAAATAAGCTAGTACTTTTAAGGACTAGCTCGTTTTGATCCAAAAAGTTCAAGCTCAAAGAGATATCCAAATAACATCATTGCATCTCAAACTACCAATTCACACACAATGCGTCGAATAACGAGAATAGATAGGTCTGTTGACCTCTTACGTACCCGGTCTATATCACAAAATCCGTTCGCATATCGTTGCTCAGCATGCAGAAACCAGACTTCTTCATTCTCAACTTCTTTAAGAGGGGCAGACAAAGAATCACTTGGCCAGCGAGTGCGACGAAGTCTATTCAAACAATCCACTGCCACATCCTCAGATCCTTACACCGGGCCCAGTCAACTGTTGGCGAAAGAAGCGGAACCAAAATTTGAACGGAAAGAGATTAGAGCACCTGAGGATGCTGAAGATTATCAGCCGGCAGACAATGGAAAGGAATTGGAAGTTATTGGTGGCTACGAGGCTTCCTGGGGCGAGGAGTTGGATGCCCAGTATCCATACAAACTGTTTTTTCCTGAAGAAAAGATCGAAAGTTCTGCAAAAGCGACCGCGGCATTACATCGTGCTTTAGTCGAAGTTTTCGCCTTGAGACAAGCTGGAAGACCGCTGTCGGAAATTTCTCAGACTCAGCCCGGTATTGATTTTACTGAGAATGTACAGATCAATCCTTCAGACTCGGGTGCTATTTTACAGTTTTTAGAAAATGGTTCTCTAGAACAGATAATCCAATCATTGGTACCCCCCATAGCGCCTTCTAAAAAAAGCAAGCAAAAACGTAAAGCTCGTCTCGCTGCAACCTCCTCCATCGATGAGACCTCAGAGAAGACTGCGCCTACGGAGTCTGAAGAAGATGTAGCTGCCGACAGGTCGCCCATAGATCCTTTACACCCAGAGCCTACACCCAAGATTGACGAGACTGTGAAGAAGGAAAACCCCACAGAATCGGAAGAAGATGTCGCTGCGGATCGTTCAACCGTGGACCCATTGAAGGATAGTGCTGAAGCACTGGTCGCATCTTGGGGAAATTCGTGGCTCCAGATTTCTCTCGCTGACCCAGCCATCAAATTTGCTGTAGGTTACATCATAAGAATATCTGATGAAGCATTTACTGATAATTTACAGGTTGTTAAACGCACAATGCAATTAACAGGTCAAAGAATACCCGATCATGCCATCAATCATTCAAATACGGCAGAAAAGCTCTTACAACATCTCATCACTCCACCCAAACCTTCAACCCTGAATAAAGCCTTGGAAGAAGAACAGATACTGTCATTACCAAATGTCAGTGTTATTGGAAAACGTGTTACACCAATTGACAAGGAACGAAACATTGGCAGATTGAAGGTTATCAGGCAAGAGTTCAAATCTCGAGGATTATCACAATCCCAAGATAGTGGGTGGACTGGTCGCCAGCGTAATAAGGAAATATGACCTGTGTAATTTGAACAGTACTCTATCATGACAATGTATTCTGCCATAAGATTATTAAAGACAATCGGGCACATGCACTATCCCTTGACTTTGCACTGATTACTCTATTCAGACTTTTGCTTCTGGCTCCCTTCAAGATATTCATGGTCTTCTTCAGTCGAGTTTGTAACTGTATGATCTTCTGACTTCGTCATTATTTGCAGATGTGAATTGAATCGATGAGATACAACATCTAGAAAATAGAAGACGAAGGTGACGTACGGCAAGTTCTTCTGCCGCCTTCATGTACATCACATGCTCCAAGCTTCAATGGGTGCTGTTGTTTATGCCTCGTCCGTCATCGTCACAAACCCCTTGATTCATTATTTCGCTCCGCACTTCTCACACATTCGTTTTGAGTAGCCGTCTCTTCTTATCGTCTCAAGCAGTCAACTCTTCAATTCGCAATAGAAATCCATTCAGTTCAACTCTCCTTTGCATATCTATGTAGGTTCGGCAGTAAATGACTCTGTTTGCGCCATTCATTGCCTACGGGCTGACTCGGTTAAGGTTGCAACTTGACACGATACAGAAATATAGTTCAAAAACCTAGAAGGAAGAGGTGTTTCTCCAATACCCCTCTCCATTTGTTTCTCCCGCTTATATCACATACCTTTCTGATTTCCCTCACGAGCTAGCTACCATTCTACTATCAATATAATAAAGTATAACAAAAATCCCAAAACAGTCATTAGTCGAGACTACTCCGAAATCTAGACATGCTGAATAGTGAACCGTATCTCTTTAAGAAAAGCCTGTATCGTTCCCCACCCTTCATACGTATTCCGAGTTCCCCTACACAGCAGTCTCATATTCTCGTTCGATCATTGTCAGCAGCAGCTGTGTTCTAGATTTGCAGCTCTTCGAAAAGCATTTGGCGATGAAATCTTTATTATAATCTGCAAGAGCTTCGAAATTGTTTTTTGCTATACACTAGGTACCTGGATATGATATATAAGTCCCTAGTAAGTACAATTGCCTCTGTGAAGAGGTGATTAAAAATCAATATCTCAACACAATTCGTCTGAACAGACAACGAAAAATTTGATCATTTCCAAGATTTTAGAACGAGTACCTACAAAATATAGTTCGAAGACTCTTCTCCCATTTCAGAAGAAGATGTTGGGTTAACCTCTTCAGAAAGAAGACCAGTAAGTGTGCTAGCCTGTCAAACAAGGCGGGAGACGTGTAATATTTGTGAGTTGATTCCTAGAAGATAAATTGGATACCTATGCAAAAGTTCGAAGGAAAGTGAACATGCAAGCTGTCATATAGGTCATATGTATATAGAAATTGCCAAAACATGGAGTGATTGTGTAATGACAAAATGATCTAGTTAGCTATTGATTTGTTGGGGATCCAGATGTCGAAGATATCAGTAGGAAATAATACAAATCACATCACATAAACACACACACTTCACATCTCACATCTCACAAAAATCACCATCCCTCAAAAGAACCTAATTCGGGGAAAATAATAATAAAATGACATTTTCGAAGCCTCAGCAGAAATCTCCCACTTTCAAAAAGACAGAGACTCCCACCTAAACCTTATCTAAACCATGTCATCCCCCTAGAAATAATCGAACCATCATTGTCTCCGTCCTAGCCACCAAAATCTCCTCGGGGAGAAAATCCTAGCTAACTATTCCCAAGCTCCAACAATATTCGACATCTGTGTTGAAAATAAGTTGAGGAAATCTCGGCTATGCCGAGATCCAGCATCTCATGTGTTGTATTCGGTATCCCAAAGTGTGTCTGCTGATCAAATATCGATATCAATGATGTGATATGATATGACGACGACGTAGAAGTGAAAAATATATATGTTTTTTATGTATACCTTTTGAAAAATAATAATGAATCGAAGTTTCCAACGGCGCAAAAGTCTAGCGCAATCTGTGTACTGCAAAAAGTCTAGTCTAAGAGACAAAAATAAATGCGACAAGGAAGAGGAGTCAAGGAAATGTAGAGAGATATCGATACAATCAGTCGAACAGAATTTCACGAGACGAAAACCTTCGTAAGCAACGTGTTATCCTGTTCTCGGCGCGATATCGTAGGCAATGGTATGGTGCCACTTACAATTGCGCAAGCGCAATATCGGCAGCATAAGCCAAAGCGAACGCATCTCTCTTGGCCTTGCGGCAAGGTTGTCCTGGACGTCCGCACCATGCCTCAGCATTGGCCTCAGCCTCAGCAAGAGCTTCGCGCTTGCATGGTTGACCGGGGCGTCCGCACCAGGCCTCAGCAGTGGGCTCAGCAAGCGCCTCAGCAATAGCTTCGGCAGCACGCTTGACGGCACGGCAAGGTTGTCCGGGACGTCCGCACCAGGCCTCAGCTTCGGGATCGGCCTCACGCTTCTCCTTGCATGGTTGACCAGGGCGTCCGCACCATGGCTCAGCAGTACGCTTACATGGTTGACCAGGGCGTCCACACCAAGCCTCAGCTTCGGCGAGAGCCTCACGTTTACATGGTTGCCCGGGGCGTCCGCACCAAGCTTCGGCCTCGGCAAGAGCCTCTCTCTTGCATGGTTGTCCTGGGCGTCCGCACCATGGCTCAGCAGTACGCTTACATGGTTGACCAGGGCGTCCACACCAAGCCTCAGCTTCGGCGAGAGCCTCACGTTTACATGGTTGCCCGGGGCGTCCGCACCAAGCTTCGGCCTCGGCAAGAGCCTCTCTCTTGCATGGTTGTCCTGGGCGTCCGCACCAGGCCTCAGCATCGCGCTTGCATGGCTGTCCGGGACGGCCACACCAGGCCTCAGCCTCGCGGGCAACAACTTCGGAAACCTCACGGGTCTCGATGTTGAGGGACTCGAGGAATGCATCGGAATCCTCGACGGTCTCGGCGGTAGCCTCGGCAAGATCTCTTGCGAGTCTCTTCGCCTCGAAGCAAGCTCCTCCAACCATGTTGCATCTCTTGATGGCAGCCTCGGAAACATCAGCTTCGGCATCACGTTTGCAAGGTTGTCCTGGGCGTCCACACCATGGCTCAGCGAAAGCCTCAGCGACGGCCTCAGCAGCGCGCTTGTTCTTGCGGCAAGGTTGTCCTGGGCGTCCGCACCAAGCTTCGGCCTCGGCCTCGGCGAGAGGAGTACGTTTGCATGGTTGTCCGGGACGTCCGCACCAGGCTTCTGGGAGAGCCTCGCGTTTACATGGTTGTCCTGGGCGTCCGCACCATGGCTCAGCATCACGCTTACATGGTTGACCGGGACGTCCACACCAAGCTTCGGCTTCTGGGGTACGCTTGCATGGTTGTCCTGGGCGTCCGCACCATGCCTCAGCGACTGGGGCAGCGACGGCGACGGCCTCACGCTTGCATGGTTGACCGGGTCTAGAAGCATATGTTAGCAATGAATTCTGTTAGGAGATAAATTCAAGGGAAAGGAAATTATCTTACCTTCCGCACCATGGCTCTGGGACCGCGACGGCGGTGGCAGTAGCAGCCAAGATGGCGAGAGCGATTGCGTTTGTGAACTTCATAACGAATGTAGTTTGAAGGTAATTGATTTATAGAGTGAGTGTGGGTGTAAAATCTTAAAGATTGAATATGGGTAAGGAGAAAAGAAGAAACGTATCAAAAGCAACGAAGTTGACGTGATTTATAGATGATTGGACTTTGCGCTGTTCAAGATAAACAAGAAGATAAGCCGGGAACTCCGTACCTGCGGGCCCAAAGAATCTTTGAAGAGATGTCTTTCTATTGAAGATTGAAGAGGAAAACTTCCCATTATGGGTCTCAATAAGTTCGGGAGCGAGAGGAAAGGTACTGAGACGACAAAGACTTTGGGAAAATTTTCTTTGGAGGATCGATTACTTTATATCCACGTAGTGGGCTCAACATGATGGTATGAAACGTCGTTCGCTGTTGACCCCATGAACAGAGTTTTCACAGAGTTTGAAGAAGCAATCTCCAGATTGATTGCGGAATCGATTATCATCTCAAATTATGGCGCATTGAGCCCATGTCAATTCCATTCCATCTCATGTGTAGATACCCACACCTCATGAACTGAGGGTAACGTTTCCTAAATTCCCTGCCAGATTCACTCACCTTGCAGAAAATTTCTTTTACATCAAAAGATTTTTCTGACACTAACAGAGAATATAGTCAAAATTTCAAAGAAGACTGTTTCAGATTCTATGAGGATATAATAAAGGGTGAATATCTCGTGACCTTCATGGAAAAAAGAAGTACTCTATTGAGTACTCTATTAAGATCTTATTGAGTACCCCTTTTGTACTCGCTTAAAGATGAAGAAAAGCAAAACACACGTTTTTTTTTCTTTCATCCCCTCGTCCCACCCAATGAATTGACATGCACCAACAGAAAGCGAGTACGAAATGAAGGTATTTTCAGACTAAACATGAATCTAGAAGACATCAGGAATATTCTAGAACGGGCTTATTACTAGAGCCGCAGGAGCTTGTTTGTTGCACAGTAGACTAACTACTTTCTTTGGTTGATTACATTGAGGCCAAAAAAGGCAAACATGAAGGCAAACATGAGGAAAACACACGATATTCTTTGAGGAGTTGCGAGTGAAAAGTACAGCCATAATAACCCCGGAAATGCCGAGCAAATAGCAACAAAGTCAAGAGGCCTAGACGTGTTGAGAGTTTTGATCGGGACAAGAAGATGAGACATCAAGATCTAGAATTGGACTTGGTCAGATCCATGAGCTTTTACGAAGTGTGGGGACTCTTTTGGGGTGAAAGAACTATGTCTAAATTTGTATAATGCTTGAAACAGACCAAACGAACTGTACCTAGGTAGCCACTGACTTACTTGGCGTCTCCTGCAAAGTGCAAAGTCAAGATCTTCAAGTGCCAAGGATCATGCCCTAGGGATCATATGCAATCATCAACATGGACACAGAAAAAGACATACATCCAAACCAAAAGCTATGCAATGAAATCTTCAAAGGCAGCCATTGACTTCAGGGCTGTGGAGCTAATTGCTTCTTGTATTGAAATGTGACCGAACCTTTTTCTAAGCTACAGATATTTTGTTACAACATCTACCCAGGATGTTACTATGCTCATCGACCATTCTTCTTATTTCTTCTTGTTGCTTTACCATTGCCGTTGATTGCAGTGGTCTTAACTTTCTCAAGAACTTCAAAATCATCAGCACCTGAGCTGTTAGATGCTTCTTCAACCTCTTCATATTCTTCTTCGACTGGAGTTTTGTTCAAGAAACGACCAATAGTTTTGTTGAAAGCGAAAATTGGTAACCGGAAAAGAGCAGTTTCTCTCATGGAAGGGGGAGGTAGCTCGTCAAGCTAAATTGTAGGTTAGTGAGATGTTTTGAAACGGTTTGAGGAGTGACTTACATCAAGCAAAAATTCTTGGGTTTTGCCATCCTCGTCAGCTTGTTCCAAGTAAACATTGTTGGCAGAGTCAACCACGAGAATTTTGCCATTTTCAGCAACGACTCTCTTCTTTGGCCCAGTGATGGAGGTTGGAGTTCCGGGTGCTGATGCCTTAGCCTTCTTGACTTTCTTTTCAGTCTTGTCAGTCTTGGAAAATTTCTCTTGCCTGCGTCGCTCTTTTCGGTTTAATGGTTGCATAGGATCGGCATCAGCATCGGTATCGGTTCCAGGTGTAGCGGCTCCATCAAGGCCAGGAATATTGAGATTGGAATTTCCACCCCATGCAGCGTTTCTTGCAAATGTGATATATCTTTCAACAAACTCGCGCTGTCTTTTCCAACTCAAATAGAGGGCGAGATAATGACCTCCACCTCCAACGAAGATGAAGAGACCCACAAGCACTGAGCCAAAACCAGGACGGAACCGAGCATAGTAGTATCCAGTGCCCTTCCACTTTGGGAATCCATTTTTCAAGAAGTGATCGTAACGTGCGCGACCCTCTCCCAAAAGAATTTTATTTATAAGACCCAAACGTGTGAATCGATCGCTAGCTTTTTGGTAATGTGCCTTGATTTCAGCTTGCGAAGGACCCTTTGAGACATTGGCACCAGACTTCTTGTTCTTAGACTTTTCGCCCTTTCCTGTAGATTTATCGGCGACGAATTGGGCCTTGACCTTATCAGGATGTTGAGTGCGGGACTTCTTCTTGTATGCAGCTCTTATTTCCTCTTGGTTGGCAGATGGTTTAATGTCGAGGAGATCGTAAAATGTAACCTCAGGGCCGTCATGGGTAGCAACCTCGTTCTGCAGACGAAAGATTTCCTGGTCTATAATTTGCTATGAGCCAATTGATCCATTCAAAGGTGTGCAAGACGTAATCAAGGTAAGGAAAGGAATTGGGCCGAAATTGTCAAATATTAATGGGATGGGCTATATAAGCCAACTCACCTTCTTTACTCCATGCCGCAACAAAGGCCAAAAGACAGGCCAATATGGCGAAGGTATAGAAAGAACCTCTCATCTTGCCAGAATGAAGAAGAAGTTAAGAGTGTCAATTAGAAGAAGCACACCGATGATGTGACCCTTCTGTTATCAATCCTTTCTTACTTTCTTATGTTCTAGGAACTTTCTTCTGGTGAACGGAATTATATAAAGATGACAGCGAGATTTTTAGGAATCAGACAAGGATGACCGCTTAGTGAAATTCTGGCCTGGAGTGGATTTTGGCTCATTGGCTCTTGTGTTCTTTGATAGGCTCAATGAGTTGAGAACAATCATGGCCAAACAAATTGATTCACATACGAGAGACCATTCATTATATCTTACATTTCATACCTAGTTGTCTTCTTGTAGGAGTGAGTGTTGGGTGCTGGGTGCTGAGTGCTGAGTGCTGAGTGTTATTTGCTTAATCATCCATTTTGTAACAATTCCATAGGTTGAGCGATGGGGGAATCGCATAGTTGCACAAAGTTATGCATTTTGTGTATTTTATGTATGATTGCATGTATGGTCTCCAAGGTTCCATGCCTTGCTGTCTCCAATGATGAACAGGAACGAGTGGATAGTCTTGAGATAGCTTCATGCGTTATGCAAGTACACGCTTTTCCAATCTGCACGCTTCTCGCTCATCCCTCCATCCCTCCCATCGCTCGTACTTACTCGTCCTTCGCCCACCGCCCGTCGCCCATCGCCCCATCGCCCTTCCAAGTTCTAAATCGGTATTTCCAACCCAAAAAGCGCCTACCCATTTACCCAAAGCTTCACCGCAACCCATATTAAATTCTGTACTACTGAAACTTTTCACTCACCTTCTTTCCTTCCCCTTCCCTTTCCCCTTCTCAACTCTTGATCTTCTTCTCTTCCAGAAGATCTTTAATAAGAAGTTTGACGAGGGAACTTCTCGAATCTGCATGTGTTTCAGGTCCCTTATTTAACCCCCCTGGCTGAACGCCCGGACTCTTCCTCTATTGAGGCTTTTTTAAATTCCTAATCTTCCTCCCCGGCAGCTCTTGCTGGGGATCTTTTACAGAAGGTGTAAGGGGCCAATCGTTCGTTTGTTTCCAAAGGGATAAATTTATCACGAAAGTTTACTCTACGCAGAGACAATCAAGTGCATCCATCTATTAAAGATTTATCTATTGAATCTTCACTCACCTCTACACTCACGTACGCAATTCATTCGTAAGTCTTTTCTATCATGACCAATTGATATTCATTCATTCATTCGTGATTTCTATCTGGCTTGCATCCATTATCTCCTGCCTATTTGATGACGAATGCTGGCTGACCAGAGCTTTTTTTATATTGACAGATCTCTTAAACAAAGGCACTTAGGGGGAAAAGACTTCTCTTCGGACTTCTTACCCAACCTTCTTCCTTCTTTACAACCCCATTGAAAATACAAGAATCTTGAACAGTCCTTCAGCGATTCACAAAGTAGCTCTCTACATTCATCAAAGTTTCTTCAAATATTTGGATTCTTCTCATCAACAGACATAATGTCTCGGATCAACATCCCTTTCGATCTGATTTCGTCCAGATTTAATCTGTCTGACAGATTTTCTGGTGTGCGGGCACAATCTCTATCTACCAGATTTGCCAACCTCAAGCCTGTCAATGAATTCTTCGATTTCAAACGCCTCTCCAAGCCGGCAAACTTTGGTGAAGTTCAGTCCAGAGTCAACTATAACCTTGGACACTTCGCCAGCAACTACTTTGCTTTGTTCATTATGCTTAGTATTTATAGCTTGCTCACCAATCTCCTACTCTTATTCGATATCATCCTTGCCGTAGGAGGAATGTGGGCTATTGGAAAGCTCGAGGGCCAAGATTTGAACTTAGCTGGTTTCCAAGCTACATCCTCGCAGCTTTACACCGGTCTCTTAATTGTCGCAGTTCCTCTTGGAATCATTGCGTCACCATTCACAACACTTCTCTGGCTCATTGGAGCAAGTGGAGTTAGCATCATAGGACATGCCTCATTCATGGACAAACCAATCGATGAGGCTTTTTCCGGGGAGGCGGTCTAGACGGTCGGCCGCAATCTCCCAAATCTATGCCCCAATGGGGAAGACCATCAGGGGCGAAGGGGAGCAGGAGGAGGAGGCAGTGGGAGCAGGATCAAGGGCATTGGCAACAGTCGCGTGTCGAGGAGCTTGATAGCGAGGGTGATACAGATACACAAGGCGTTGGGTTACATCTGGGCGCGAAACGATTTGCAAGCGATCCACTTCATTTCACGGGTATAGATATTTCTTCAAACACAAGGCCTAGGCGAGGTTATTCTTATGACGAGGCCGAGCGATCTTCCGAGTCCGATTCCGAATATTCGGACTACCATGAAGGTGGTGACAAACAATTAGCTTTACGAGGGGATAACGAGGAAGCAATAGTACAAAGTGCTCTAGCTCGTATTCGACGCGCTCAAGAAAAGGGAAGACAAGACGTGAAGCTCACGCAAGAAGAGCTTGATGCATTGGAACGCCGACGAATTCGTATGCAAGCCGCTGCTGCCGCAAAAGCTGCCAAAAAAGGAAGCAGTGGAAGCGGAGCTGAAAAGAAACGACGAAGCGATCGAAAAACTGTTGATATTGCATCTCTTATGGACCCCAAGCCAGCCAGTGATCCAAAGAAAAGAAAGTCGAAAAGAAAATCTGGTAGTTCTTCCCACAGTGCTGCCGCGGGACCTGGAATCATTGTTGATGGACCTGATGGACCTTCGTATACTCCAATAGGTGGTTACCTTCCTTCGGACAGAGGCACATCTCGTTCTCGTTCATCAGCACGTCATGGTCATTCACCCCCAGGTACGAGTCGACATTTCTCTGACGGCATGCGTCCTACTTCCCATAACAACAGTCCTCGTCGTTCCTTACCCGAAGAAGAAAGCTGGCATTCCACCAATAACAAACGGACTTCTCTTTCTTCTCAATACCATGTTGCTGATCCCTTTGATTACCAGGTTACCGCTGATCAGCCACCACCCGTCCCGCAACAGTACACACAATCATCTTCAGGTCGTCATAATTATTCCGGTCCTGCCGATATTTCTTATACTTCCATTCGACGCAGTCCACCACAGGGCTATGCTGCCACCGATAGGATCCCTTCTGATTCATCCCTCAGACATCGGACTTCTCCGAGGGGAGAAAGAGAAGTCATAACTATTCCTGATAGTAGTGAAGATTCAGATTCAAGCGATGAGCTAGCAAGAGGAGTACAAGTTTTTCCGGAGGAACGAGAACGAGTAGTCTCTAGGAGACCTGCACCTGTGATTGGGAGTGGGAGTGGAAGCGGGAGAAGAAAAGGCAAAGGAAGATAAAATTATGGAAACCTCGTTTATGGAGCTTTGCAATGAATAGACTTTAACTCTTTGCTTTTCAATGAATTACTTGCCCAAATTGTGCTGTTATTGTGATAAGATTTGTGATTTGTGGATTGTAGTCAGTATATATGTCTTGAATCCAATACAGAGTGTCGGTGACGAGATCATATATGTAATATCTTCATCTACCTATCTACCTAGGTGATACCCACATCTTCAGAGTTGATTGATGACGATAGAAATACTTGAACCTGCAACTATATGTCTGCATGAACTATAAAGAGCAGAGAATTTTCAGTAGAGCAGTTTATTATGCATTGTATTATAATTGTAATTATATTTGTATTGATTGGAGTGAGTTGGTGTCAAGAAATTAAGAATCATTGTGCCTATTACCTATTACCTATTCCTTAAATTTTCACCATCCGTTCTCTCTCCTTTCTCTCCCCCTCACCAAACAAACACCCTACTGAAAACTCATCCCCAACACCGCGCCCACATCTCCACCTCTCCTATTCAAATCCAAAATCATCTGACCAAACAAACCATTCGCCCAACTAAACCATTGACGACTCCACTGATGCTGATCAAACGAATTGATCGATTCGTGGATAAGACCTAGTCCGTCGGTGCTGCTGACGATTTCCTTGAGGGTGCTGTAGATTTCGGTTGGGGAGGAGGAGGTCAGGATGCGGATTATGCTGGCCATGGGCCAGGCGCGGCCGGGACCAACGTGTGGACCGCCGACGCTGGTGGGGATGTTAGTGAAGGGGAATGAGGGGAGGAGATAAGACTTACGCGTTAATAACGGGACCGCGCATGAAATAGGGATTATCTTTCGAGAGGACAAACTTGCGGGTGTTTTGATAGATGGTGTCATTTACGCTTAGGTAGCCTAGGAAAGGAGCTGCGAGGAGGGAGGGAATATTGGCGTCATCCATGCGGTTTGCTGATGTTTAGCTCGTTAGATGATGGCATTCAATGGAAGAGTTCGAGAGACGAATGACTTACCAGAACCGAATCCGTCGACTTCGTATGCGTATACTTTTCCGTAGACGGGATCATTTACAATACCGTGTTTGGTGATGGAGGCTCGGATGCTACTTGCGAAGGTGTGCATGTGGTCTGAGAGATCTTGCTGGCCGTAGATTTTGGCCATGATTTTACTGCATGATTCGAGGTAGCGGGAGAACATCATGTTTGCTGGGATGAAGAGTTGGTAGATGGTTCTATTGTGATGGGATATTGTAAGTTTTCATATTGTCTTTGATTTTTGAGGGGCAATACTCACGCATCGTCACTGGGTCTGAATGCAGATCGTATCAGTCCAGTGCCTTCTTGGACGGGATTTCCAGCTCCAGTATTACTCAGTGTCTCTGTTGAGCTGGTTGTTTCTCGTTGCCATGTATATGGACTTGTGTTAACACTGCCATTGGCAGAATAGGTTCCGATCAAAAGTCCCTCTGTTGTGGAGATAATCGTCTCAATAGCATTGACCCAATTGAACTTTTGAAAAAACGTGATATCACCTGTAGCATCGTAATAGTCACTCGAGATCTCCAGAAATGCAGCCAGAGAGTCTAATTCATATTTGCACTCAAAGACGATACTGGTGGGTTGGGCGGGAGTAAAGTTATCTGGGTTTGGTTGGTTTTGCTGTGGTGGAATTCCACTTTCGGTGGGTGCTTGGAAGGAATTGCAGTATGGTGCTTCGAGAATATATCGAGCTTGGAGATTGATGACGCCTCGATAGAGACTTGCAAGGGAATCGTGAGACGAATCATTCGTCAATAATGGCAAGTAACTTTGCATCTGGTTTGCTGAATCTCGTAGCCACATCGCATCAATATCTCCCGTGATCAAGAACGTCAATTCTTCTTCCGCGTTGTCTGCTGCATAGCCTCTCCATTTCACAGCTGTATCGAGAGAGTTGGGAAATGAGTTCTGGAATATGCGGTAGAGATCAGGGTCTGCAATCACTGACTCCATATCACTAATGGTTTTCTCTACAATTGAGGAGTTGAAGGTCCGACATGCTGGTTCTGGTCTCATCCATGATAATGCATATCTCCCACTGCTAAGAGGTGGATGTTGTGTGAGAGAATACTGAGAGTAATCTGGGCATTGTGCTTGAACTGCAGAGAGCAAGAATGTAGCCGTAACGGCGACATTGTTCGAGGAGACTCTCATGATAGTTTGGAATACTCTAGAACCTCTGATTTGAATGGATGGTCTAGACTTGAAATGATTGAAAAGAGGAGAATTGGTGTACTTATTCCCTACAGTAAGTGCATATAAATCCTAACCCAAGCAAACCTCTGAAGGGATGTGATCGTATATACATGTAAGTCTGGCCAATATCGGTTAATCAGGTACGAGTTGTATTGAGTTGTTTACCCCGCGATCTCCTCTCAATTCACCACACAACCATGCCGGTTTAAAAACCATTTCACTGGCGCGTGAGATCATTATGCTTTTGTAAAGCTCCACGCGTGACTCAAAAGAGGAAGGCGTAAAGTATACGACCGGACGATTCGTTGCAATTTCATCGATTCGTCCATACCCATGTCAGGACAGATGCAGACCCAAAGGTCATTTGCTATCCATCGGATGGATAATGGCATAAGAGATGGACTACTGAACAGTGAACACCTTGTTTGTACAACTGCACTTGCTTGTTGTCATTGTGGTGCTCTTAGTCAAAAGGTTGTGATCTGCGAGAGTTTGCGGGGTTGTGCTTCCTTGGCATACGAGCACACTTCGCGGTAACATCTGCCCGAGCCGAGATATTGGGTGAATGGTGTGGTTAAATTCCCGAGAAAGTCCCGGTTGATACTTTCGTTTTTGTTATTGATTCGTACCTACGAGCTCGCCTACCTCTCATGCTACCCTCCTACCTTAGTTGAACGTAACAAGAGAGCGATCTCGTTTAGTATCTAATAGTCGGCTGTTCAAACGGCCGACTATCAGTATTTAGAGTGTGAGGCGGTGTCTCAGAACCGTAATATCTACTAGGTACACATGTGGTTAAACTTTCACGACAGTGGTTTGTACAATGAGAGAAGTATTGATGGCTGCAACAAGAGACAGCCGTGTCTGTGTATGGGAGTATGAATAGACCAGATTATGATCATGATTCCGATTATCTCTTCTGTTTATGGAAAGGGTGGCAGATGAGCTTCCAGCTTCCCTAGTTTTATACTAATCGGTTGCACGACTTTATAGGAATAGTTCAATTTGTATGTGGTACTTCGTATGGGCGTGTTCATTGTCACTGCCATTGTCATTAGAGATAGAGTAGGAGCTGGTGTTGTCTGTATCGTCGTATGGGTGCACAATGGTGGTTCGAGATTCCAGGCATTCCAGTAGGTAGCACTAGCTTATCGTTAGGAGCAGGGCAGGGATTATTTGAATCATACACACAATCATACAATACTGTACATCTTTTAAACCTATCTAGTAGCTACCTAGCATCTATTGATTTTCCATTATCACGAAAAGGCAACTCTCACACATTTTCATTTCCAATTACCTCTCATTACTCATTATACATCTCAATGAAATGATTGACTAAGCCGTGGAAACTTATGCTTCGCGACTTTTTATATGCGCACGCGTAGTGGGGTTGATATAAAAAAGATCTCGAGCTTATTGACATATGATTTCGACTAACATCGAATATGCGGGCAAGATACAGCATTCGCAATTGCAGTTTCCACCTTGGGCACCGGCTGGTGCCCTTGCGTGTACCATTGCGCATGGTTTCTACACAGGCGGAACCCGTCAGCGGCAACCAGCGATTGAAGCATGAGAAACTCGCCAACAAAATCGAGCAAAACCTGAAGCGTAAGAAGTTCGTCCAATCGAACGATTGGGTTGATGAGACACCAGACGGACAGAGAAAGATTTTAAAGCCATTTGATGAGGAATTCCACAACACTTATTTACCCAATGTCGTCGAGTCCTCCTGGTATAGCTTTTGGGAGAAGCAGGGACTTTTTAAACCACAAACAGAGAACGATGGCAGCCTTAAAGCGAGAGGAAAATACGTCATTGCTATGCCACCACCCAATGTGTGAGCTGATATATGTATTGGTAACATGGCTATCTGCTAACACCAGTCGCAGGTCACAGGCAGATTACATATTGGACATGCCCTAGCAGTTTCATTACAAGATACCCTTACTAGATTACATCGTATGCAAGGTCACTCAACACTCTACATCCCCGGCTGCGATCATGCAGGCATTGCGACCCAAGCTGTTGTCGAAAAGCAGCTTGCCAAACATCCGAAAGATGGAAAGTCTAAAAAGCAGGATTTTACAAGGGATGAATTTGTGCAGCTATGTGAGGATTGGAAGGAGGTGTATCAAGAAGCGATTATCAAAACGATACGCAGACTAGGTATCTCTCCGGACTGGGACCGCATTGCCTACACGAGGAGTGAGCCATTTTCTAAAGCGGTCAATGAGAGTTTCGTGCGGTTTTTCGAAGAGGGCCTCATCTACAGAGCTAATAAGCTTGTACATTGGTCATGTAGCCTCTCTACGTCTATATCTACACTTGAAGTTGACCAAAAGGAGCTTCAAGGAAGTACCAAACTTAGTGTGCCAGGCTATGATAAAAAGATCGAATTTGGAACATTGACATATTTCAAGTATCCAATTGAAGGGTCTAATCAGACTATTGAAGTTGCAACAACAAGGCCAGAGACAATGCTGGGTGATACTGGCATTGCCGTGCATCCTCAGGACGATCGATACAAGGATTTCGTTGGCAAGACTGCGCAACATCCGTTTATTCCCGATAGAAAGCTGAAGATTGTCGCCGACGAATATGTTGACAAAGAATTTGGAACTGGTGCTGTCAAACTAACACCTGCTCATGATCATAATGATTTCGATTTGGGCAAAAAACATAACCTGCCATTCATCAACATTTTGAACAAAGACGGTACTCTCAATAGCAATGCTGGTCCTTTTGCTGGAGAGAAGAGA